TGCTGGCGGCCAGCGCGCTGCGGGAGCGCGGTGCCATCCGCGCCGACCCCAAGCTCAGCCTCATGCCGTGAGTACAGCCGGGGGGGAGCCGGGGGGAGCCGGGGGGGCCGCAGCCCAGCTCAGCCCCAGGAGCTGTGACAGCGGATGAGTCCAGAGTGTCTGCCCCCCAGCCAGGTTTTGGGGGGGCAGAGCAGCCCGTAGCCGTCCCTGGTGATGGAGGGATTTGCTGCGGCCAATGCCTGGTTTTAAAGACCCCCAGTTGTGGCCCCCCAGCTTGGGTGGGCCTCACGGGGAGGGGTTTTATGCAGTGGGGTCTATGCGGCTTTGGCAGGGGCTCTGCTCCCCCCATCTCACTGCTGGGGGAATCCCGCTGGCACAGCCCCTCTCCTCAATGCCCCTCTCCCCAGCTGGTTCCACGGGAAGATCTCGGGGGTGGAGGCGGTGCAGGAGCTGCAGCCCCCCGAGGACGGGCTGTTTCTGGTGCGTGAGTCTGTCCGGCACCCCGGCGACTACGTGCTGTGCGTGAGCTTCGGCAAGGAGGTGATCCACTACCGCGTGGTGCACGAGGAGAACACGCTCAGCATCGACAGCCAGCAGTACTTCTCCAACCTCATCGACATGATCGAGGTGAGACCCCTGTCGCTGGGCAGTGAGTGCCACCAGCACCAGACCTAGGGCAAGAACCTCATGGGGTCACCCGGAGCAGTGGCAGGTCCCTGTCCCTTTCTCCTGTGGTTTTCACTGGGTTTCGTTACCTGGCATAATTCTCTGTCCCTGCCAAAGGCTTGTGGTTCCCACTCAGTTTGGGGTGCAATGGACACATCTGGGGTGCCCCGGGGACATCCTCTGCCATAAAGCAGCCGTGCTGGCAGCAGCCCCAGTCCCCTGCTCAGGGCCATATTTCCCCCATCCCTGCTCATTCCCACACTTCACGCAGCAGTGGGGCTTAGGAAATTTTGGAAAATTAAGATCCTGGCAGCCTCTGCCTCCCCGGGACCCTGGACAAGGTTGGAGTCCTGCAGAGGCTTGAGGCGTTTTGCCGAGTTTCTCTCCCCTCCGAGCTCCCTCTCGCCTGTTGACCCCACGGGGCTCCTGGGCTGCGGCGTTAGCTCTTGTCCTTCCAGTGAGCTCTTCCTCAAGGTCCATCTTTGCCCTGTCTCATACCTGCTGCCCGTCTCCTCTTCAGGAGGTTGCACTCTCATATGTTTTCCTTATTTAGACACAACTTCTGCTTTCGGGTGGGTCCTTTCCCCTTTCATCTGCCCCGGCCCCTCTGTAACCACGATGGCCGTCCTGCCACTTCCTCTCCGTGTCACTTCTGCAAAACACCCTCGGCTGACCGGTAGCACCAGGTCACCCACGGTCCATCACTGCGTTCCCCTGGCTGTGTATGGAGGGGAGCAGGGCTGGGACATGGGCTGCAAATTGCAACACTGGGGGAAATGTGGCTCTGGACCCCTTGAGGCTGGTGATTGTGGTGGGGTCCCATGGAGCATCTTGTGGCCGCTTCTTGGCTCCACACCCTGAGCCTGAGGGTTAGAGGTGGCATCACCACATCACCTCTGTCCATCCCTCGGCAGCACTACATGAAGGAGCAGGGAGCCATCTGCACCAAGCTGGTGAAGCCCAAACCGAAAACTGGGATGAAGTCGGCCGAGGAGGAGTTGGCCAAAGGTAGGGAATGATGGGAGAGGGTCATGGTCTGGGTTTTGGGGACATGGCAGCATGGCCCCGCTGGTGACCCCTGCTAACATACCCTTGTGCCTGTGCCCAGCTGGCTGGCTGCTGAACCTGAAGCACCTCACACTGGGAGACCGCATTGGGCAGGGCGAGTTCGGAGGTAGGTGAGAAGAAGGGGTTGGAGGTTCCCTGGCCACGGGCTTCCCCAGATGGCACCACTGATGTCCCCTCCTCATCCTGTGGCATGGGGGGGATCAGCCTGGGATATGGGGGGGCGGGTGTGGGGCTGAGCCTGTCCCCCTGCGTCCCTTCCTAGATGTCCTCCAGGGCGAGTATATGGGGCAGAAGGTGGCCGTGAAGAACATCAAGTGTGATGTGACCGCCCAGGCCTTCCTCACTGAAACGGCTGCCATGACGTGAGAGCCCCATGGGGGGATACAGCCCAACCCTGCCCCATGACCCAGGGACGAGCAGGCACCCCCTTGACACAGGTCCCCTCCATTTCAGGAAAGTCCGGCACAAAAACCTGGTGTGTTTGCTCGGTGTGATCCTGCACAACGGCCTCTACATCGTCATGGAGTTCATGAGCAAGGTGAGAGCGCCCAGCCGGTCTTCAGCCAGCAGGAGCCATCACCACTCAGATCTGGGGACAAACTCTCCATTTGGGGGCTGAGTTAGATGGATGCTGGGTGCTGCATCCACTGCAAGAGGCAAAATCTGTGGGCAGCCCCGTCCTCTTAGTCCTTACATGTTTTTCCTTCTCTACAGGGCAACCTGGTGAACTTCTTGCGCACACGGGGCCGGGCGCGCGTCCCAACCCAGCAGCTCATACTCTTTGCTCTGTAAGTCCATCTCTCTCCCTCTGGGCTGGCAGCCCCGGGGGACACGCAGTGACACTGTGCTCTGCTGCCCATGGCAGGGATGTGGCCCAGGGCATGGACTACCTGGAGTCCAAGAAGCTGGTGCACAGGGACCTGGCTGCCCGCAACATCCTCATCTCCGAGGAGAACGTGGCCAAAGTGAGCGATTTTGGCTTGGCCCGGGTCAATCCCAAGGGTGCGGACGCTACTTTGCTGCCAGTGAAGTGGACGGCACCAGAGGCCCTGAAACACAACGTGAGCAGTGGTGGGAAAGGAGAGGGGGCCGGGGGGGTCCTCTCCAAGCAGCTATCCCCCTTGGGTCTCCCCTGCTCCCACCAACCTGTCCCTTCCCTGTGGTGGATTCTGGAACATTCAGCCCTGCATATCCCAAAATTCAGGCTCTGTCCTGCCCTGGCGCATTGAGGGAATTGGGGCAGCTCCAGTGGGATGGGGCAGGATGGACACAGGGCTTTGCACAGGTGATGGGAAGGGAGAGGGGGTTGCACCCCGGGGAGCTGGGGGCGGTGGGGGGCTGTAGCTGTCTCCTGTCTGCCCTTGGGGAGGGATGGGGGCCCAGCACAGCCCCCACCCAGCTTCAGCCTCTCCTCTTCCTGCCACCACAGAAATTCTCCTCCAAGTCAGACGTGTGGAGCTACGGGATTCTCCTGTGGGAAACCTTCTCCTTTGGACGAGCACCCTACCCCAAGCTGGTGAGTGCTGCGCTGGGGGACACCGCAGGTCACACCCTGCTGGCACCAGTGGGACGGGGATGTCCCACTGTCCTCTGGTCAGTGTGAACCCCCGGCAGGATGGGGAAAGAGTGTCCCAACTGGCTTCTCCACCCTGCCAGAGCCTGAGGGAGGTGACGGAGCTGCTGGAGGAAGGGTACCGCATGGACGCCCCCGAGGGTTGCCCACCTGCCATCTATGCCCTGATGAAGAGCTGCTGGGAGCTGGAGCCAGGCAAGCGGCCATCCTTCAAGAAACTCACGGAGAAGCTGCAGAAGGAGCTGAAGCACCTGAGGGATGTTTAACCCCTGTTCCACTCCCAGGACCTGTGGCCAGAAGTCCCCCAGACCCACTGGCGTTGGGACTGGTGTGGCAAGAGGTGGCCCCTGATGCCGCTTTCTCCTGGTGGATATGGGACTGTCCTCCCCCGGGGTGCCCAAAGAGGAGGCAACAGCCTCCCTCCAGCCTGGCACTTCCCACCACACAGCCCAGAGAAGTTCCCATGGGGTAAATCTCCTCCCCAGGGGGGACCATGCTCCACACACCCCACACTCAGCCACGGATGGCAGGTGCTGCATGTTGGGTCCCTTCGAGCCGTTCCTCTTGGTGACAAGGGGACAGGACAGGACATCTCTGCTCACTGAAGGACAAAACCCCAACACCAACACAACCCCACTCCAGCCACCCAGCCCTGCGCAGGGATGCCGGGTGCAGCCAGCTAAACCACCCGGATTTGGGCTTTTTGATTAAACCAAAGAAATTGGTTCAGCAGCATCTTTAAGCCTCTGTGGTGGATTCTGGAAATTAGGCCTATTCCTCGCTTGGAGCCTGGCAAAGCCCAGGGAAAGGCTTGGGGGGGGGCCCAGGAGCTCCAGCCCCCAGAGCCTGGCCCCTCTCCCCTCAGGGCTCTGCGCAGCCAGGGATTATTCTTTTAATCAGAGTCTATGGGAATTGCTTGCATATAGATTACGGGAGCAGAGCACATCCTGCGGCGGTGGGAAGCCACCGGCCACACCGGCTCCCAGGCAATCTCAACATCTTGGTGGAGCCGGGATTAACGGGGGCACGGGGCCGCACGCAGGCGTGTGCTTGTGCAAGTGCACCCACCCGCCACCTTGCCTTCCAGTCCTTCGACCCTCAGTTGGGTTTTTTTTGGGCTAATCCTTCTGCATCTCCTCTCTGCCAACTTCTAGTATCTCCAACCCCTCGTGACGGTGTGGGCACTGGGTGCCCCTGATGCTGGGCTCCCCCCAGCAGGGTCTGGCCCTGTGGGTGCTGCCATCCATTGGGGCCTTGACAATGGCCCTCGTGACGGTGTGGGCACTGGGTGCCCCCGGCGCTGGGTGCCCCTGGTGCTGGGCTCCCCCCAGCAGGGTCCGGCCCTGTGGGTGCTGCCGTCCATTGGGGCCTTGACAATGAGGGTCTTTCAGCCTGATCCAGGCTGTGCTGGGGCTCAAGTGGCTCCTTCCACCTCCCCATCACCCCAACAAGGCAGCACCCAACTGTGTCCCTGCACTGCTGTCCCCCCCCAAGGACCCTTGGGTGCAGCAAGCAGCACAGGAAGGTCTTTCCACCCCGTTGGCTGTGTCTTCCCCTCCTAATGCCTTAATCCGCCCCTGATCCGCTGCGCCCCTGGGGCCGCTGGTCCCGCTGACCTTGCAGGCGCCGGCCCCGGGCAGGGACCCTGTGGTGTGGGGCACCGTGGGGCACAGGCTGCCACAGCCACCCACCCATGGCCGCCTTCTTCACATCTGCTCTGAAGAGCTTTAAGGGGGGCGAGGAGGAACCACCCAAGGGGCCCCCCAAGGATGGCAAGGCGGCCACGCTGCCCAACGGCATGGCTCGCGAGGAGTTTGAGGAGTACCAGCGGCAGCTGCTGGAGGAGAAGTAAGGCTTTGCCAGGGCTGGGGGGGTCACTGGGGTCCCCCATGCACCAGGACCTACCGTGGGTTGGGATAAGGACCGGGAAGCAGCTGGGGCAAGGGACAGGGGCAGAGCTAGTGCCCTTCTGCACCTCTCCCTGCAGCACAGGAGGTCCCCGTGGGGCTGGCACAGGGCTGAGACAGTGTCACCCTGTAGGTGACAAGGGGTACCCCCAGGTGTCAGTGTCCCGGAGTGGTGAGTGTCTGCTGTCAGCCCAGCATCCTTGGAGCTGGGGACAACAGGGGCCAGTATGGGATTGCATCAAAGTCCCACCTCCCTGGGTCTGGGTGCTGTGGAGACCAAGTGGCCCCACATTCTGAGAGGCCACAGGAGGAGCAAGAGCCTCCAGCGGGCACCTTCCCTGGGTGATGGGGCTGGAGGGCCAGGATGTGGCCCCTGCCCCCAGACCTCCACTGTGGACCTTTGTGTCCCCTTCTCCTCCCACCCTGGCCCAGGGACGCTACTGCCGGAGGAGGAGGGTGATGGTGGGGGTAGGCTCTGGTGGGGGACGACGAATGAGGTGGGGGGGTTATGGTGAGGTGGGGGATGACGATGAGATGGGGGGTGACGATGAGGTGGGGGGTGACAGTGTGGCACCGCCTGCTGCAGGATCGAGCGGGACAAAGCCTTTGCGCAGAGGAAGGCAGAACGGGCCACGGTGCGGATGCACCTGCGGGACAAGTACCACCTGGCCCAGGTAAGGATCAGCCTCCCCCGTGGTGGGACCTCGGGGGTCTTCCCCCAGCACCTCCATCTCCAGGCCAGCCCCATCCCAGTGTCTGCCAGGCCTCCCCTGGGACAGGAGATGATTCCTGAAGAGGGCAGCAGATGGCTGCTGTCTCCCTCTGCTCCATCCCTGTGCCCGTCCAGCCCTCCGGATCTGGAGCCGGACAGTCCCGGTGTCCCCCCCAGTATCCCCAATGCACCCACGGCACCCGGCTGGTCCCAAGGGACCTGTGTCCGTGGGTGCCCACATCTTCCCACATCCCCAACCCCGTCTCCCACCCGTGTGCAGGACGAGCGGGACGATGCCCAGCTGCACGTGGCCGGCGGCGCAGTGGAGCTGCCGGAGGAGCTGGCTGCCATGGTGCACAGCGAGGGGGAGGAGGAGGAGGAGGAGGATGGCGACGCCGGGGCCTTGGCCTTCCTGACCAAGCTGCGGGACGTGGACCTGCAGGCCCTACGGGACCGCGCGCTGGGTACCGTGGACGAGGTGAAGGAGAAGTGTGCCCTGATGTAGCGTCACTGCCCGCCATGGCAGCAGGTGACACCGTCAGCACTGGGGCTCAGCCCCTGCCCCCCTGCAGCCCCCCAGGAGCAATGGGATGTGGGTGTTACAGGTGCCATTACCTGCAGGTGGGGATCCCAATACATGCACTGGGGGTGGGTTTTCCTCCCCAGAACCATCCCCTGTTGTTTTTCTGGGGTGCTGGGATGCAGGACGCCTGGGTCCCCTCAGCCACACTGGCAAAGGCCCTCCCCACCGTGCCCCTGGGGTGAGCCCCCTGGATGGGGTGGGCGCTGGTCCCTAATGCTCTGTCACCCCCAGGAACCAGCCCTGGGGCCTCACGCACCATTTGGCTCAATAAACACGGCATTTGCTGGCACCAGCCTGGTTTTGCTGCTATTCCCCTCTTCTGCACAAACCCTACCCTGGGCTGGGGAGGGGAGGACACGATGACACCGCGGGGCTGCTCCCTGTGGCCCCGAGACAGCACCCAGCCCATTATTCTCTGCGCCCCAAAAAACCCTACCCTGGGCTGGGGAGGGGAGGACACGATGACACCGCGGGGCTGCTCCCTGTGCCCCCGGGACAGCACCCAGCCCGTTATTCTCTGCACCCTGATCTGTCCCCCCTTCTGCAGCAGCCCCCAGGCACGGCTGCACCCTGTGCACAGGAGCCAGCAGGACCTGGTGTGTCCCCCCTGGAGCATCCCTTGGGGACAGCACCGGTTGGGGGGTGTGACAGCATTTAACCCCTCCTCGAGCATCCCCTGCCAGCTCCTTTTGGCAGGGGGTCCTTTTGGCTGGAGCTGGGATGTCCCGCTCCGGGGCATTGCTCCCTGCTCCCGGCCGTTCAGCAGTGGCACTGGCTTAAACGCCGCCGTGCCGGAAGGCTGGGGGCTGCTGAGATCACTAATACCTGCCTATTTTAGCGAGGTCTAATCTGCCTGAGTCGCCTGTCCCCGAGGACTAAGCTCGCTGAACCCTTGTAAAATGTATGGCCAGCACTGGCCCCAATGGCACCTCCCCGCTGGAGCAGGAGCCGCCGGGGGAGTCACGCTGTGTTTGCATGAAAGAAAGGACGCGCTGAGCCGCCTCCGTCCTCCCCACGCCAGGGCCATCTGCTCCGGAAAGGCCTGTGGGGACGGCCCTGGCCTGGGCTGCCCACGGCCGCGCTGGCGGGGCTGGGAGGGGGTGGTTGAACCCAGCGCAGGTGGGCTGGGAGCTGTGCCACAGGGCTCATCGCTGTCACAAGAGCCACCGGTCTCAGCCACCCCGGGGCTGCAGCACCTGGAGCTGCAGGAGCACCAGGAGGAGGTCCCCTGGGTGCACGGAGTGCTTGGCTCCCCTGCCCTGGGCACCCAGTCAAGGAGCTGGTGGGTGCTGGATGTCCTGGTTTGTCGTGGCCTAAACACTGGAGCATCCCAGGGAGCATGTGACAGGCACATCAGGGCTTTGCACCTGGGACCCTCCTTGTGTCCGGTGGCCCTGCTGTCCCCACTGACCACCCGTGTTGCATGGGATGGGGCCATCCGTGTGTCCCCCCGGCCAGGTCCCTGATGGGGTGGCAGCACCCGGTGCAGCCCCGTTCCCAGCCCACATCCCTGTTCTCCCCAGGGCTGGGACTCAGCATCGAGTGCCAGCCGCTGGGAGGGTGGCACCGAGGTCCCCAGCACACCCTGTCACAGCAGGTTCCTCCATCCCCGCTCTGTGCCGGGGCCACATTCCGCCCCGACGGCAGCCTGGCTCCCAGTGCTCCCAGTGGGGCTGCACGGGGGCTCCCAGCGCCGGCTGGGATTCGGGTCAGGACCCTCCACCAGGTCTCCTTGGCTAATCGTCCTGCCCCCCCCGCCCTCCCCATGCTGCCACCTGCCTCCCGCTCAGCACCCTTTTGGGTCACCCCTGCCGCCTCCCCGCCTGCCCAAGGCCTCTTAATGA